AATAATTCTAACGTATTTGTTGCACTAGGAGCATTTAAGGGACAAAAAAATGGAAGAAAAAAATTACACCAGAACTTGTTTTAGAAAACTTTTCAGTGTGTTTATTTTTTTTCTTTACATTCTTAATAAAATCAAAAAAAATCTAACAACACATCCGAACCGATAAAATTGTAAAAAAGGAGTTTAATCATAAAACTATTAATACTTAAGTACTAAATTAGTTAAATAGAAAATTTTTAATTATCATAAATATTTCTTGGCATGATTAGAAGTCTTCTCATCTTGTAACTTGAATCTTTAAACAAAAATGTTTTACATTCCCTCTGAATATATATAAATGAGTATAGAACGCATTGTGAACGTATTATGAACGCAGTCGGCGCAGTGAGAACGCCGTGAACACGAGGTGAAAACTCTTAACGCGCCGTGAAAACTCCGCGGAAGCCCAGTTAATCGCCGAGAGATCTCCGTGGGAACGCAGTAGAACGCCGTGAGATCGCCGTAGAATCGCGTCCGTCGCCGTAGGGACGCCGTGACATCTTCATATTGTGAAAATTTTACAGAAATTTGTGCAAATTTTCTGCGATTCCAAGGCGATTTTAAAAATTTAACAACGCCGTAATGACTCCGTGTGAACGCAGCTTGGTGTGACAGGGCCTTTACGTCACAATGGTTAAATTCACGCTTCTTATATTATGACATCACGTTCTGCGTAACTTCAGTGCAACTGAACAGCTTGTCGTGCGATATCATTTCCGCGGACGCGCTTTCGCGTCAATATGGCAAAAGGAGGAATAACACGTGACGTCCTTTCAGCCAATGAAAACTACAAAAATAATCTTCTTATGTAATATTTTGTAATATTTCAATCCTATCTCGATGAAGAGTTTTGTTAAAATGACAATTTTTTGACAGGATTTTGCCCCCCCCCCCCCCCAACTAAGCCCCCTCTTTACCGAAATCCATGGAAACGTATTTTTACACTGAGAAATGTGATTTTAAGATATATGCAAAGACAAAATGAGAGCGTTAAATGAAAACTCTGGGATTTCATAATTCAAATGGAATAAAGGAGAGGTAAAATATAACAATCAACTGTTGGATTGGAACTGTAGACACACCATAAAATATTGATGCAATGTGCCATATATCTGAAGGAACCTTGGAAGATTTGATATGAGAAACATAGGTGCTCTTTTTAAAATTGAAAAATGGATTTAATAATAAATATTTAGTATCCATGAGATAAAATTGACGTTTTATGTTCATAAGTACAAGGAGGAAAGGCATTCAAAATAGATAATAGAGAAAACCTTGGGGATAGAAACTAGTACAAATATCTATAACTTATTTTTTGAAGATGACAATTTCCATTATTTATTTAACGAACCTCGTACTTCGGTTTTAGATTTGTTTGATGTTCAATGAGGCCTAAATTTCCTATTAATAACTTGAATGCTAAAAATTAGAAATTGGCTGCGGAAGGGATCGATCATTTGAAATATTTCATTGGAGTCACTGTTGAGGCGAAACGCAGGCCTTGGTCTAATGTTATCTCTTTAGGTCAATAACTCCAAATATCTCATCTTAATATAAAACGTAAGGGGTATGACTTGTATTTTATATTGTAATCAAAACTGTAGGAGTAGTGGGATTTTTAAGAAAAATATCCTTACAGTCTGACAAATATACAAATATATATGTCACATTGCTGTCCATAAGCTCTTTTAATTTCTTACCAGTAGAATATTAAAAATCTTTCCCTTTGATTCATCCTGGACGGATGACAAAGTATTTGCTTTCTACACAATTTTTGTTCTGGATGATAACCAAAACAGTTGCAATTTGCCAGGCAGTGAAAGGCACATTCCGTCAGAGAGTTTGCTTTCACTGTGGAGAGAAGATCATCATTTCCTAATCTATCTTTACATCCAGGAATACCTTCAAAGAGAATAAAGGATGATAAAGATGAAAACACCTCGCAACAAATCGCACAAAAACAGGCAAGTAGTAACAGCTGAATTCGGTAGTTGTGTATCATCTCAACTCCAGTAACTCCTTGTGTTTCTTAATTTCTAAGATTTATAAATTTTCAAAGTCTTTTTTGATGAAGAAGATATTAATTTTCCTTTCCTCGTGCTCATTCGAGTAGATTTCTTTGCGTTTCTGAAAACTTCGTATTTTCCGCCGACCTATAATTTTAATCAATTGCTATAAATTTGAAGCGGAAGCGATCGATCATTTGAAATATTTCATTGGAATCACTATTGAGGCGTATACACAGGCCTCGGTCTTAAGTTATCTCTTTTGATCAATAACTCGAAATATCTTATCTTAATATAAAACTTTAGGAGTATGAAATAGATAATATATTTTTTTAACTTTCAAATATTTATCTAACTTCTTGCCTAGTTGTAGAATACAAAACTTATCCAAATGTTTATTTAACAAAACATAGGAGGGGTGACCGAAAAGTTCGAGCACTATCTCTCTATCTACGAAACCACAATTCAGATTAGAAAGTAAAGAAGTAGAGCCACGAAGATGCATAATCGGCCTATACTTTTCAGGAAAGTTTACCTGAAATAAACCAAAAAATAACGGTATAAATATTATCTACTCGTATCGAACTTAAAAAGGTTTATGTCAGATTCTTTATTTGATGACGTCATATTTGTACAGTATACGTATACGTCTAAACACGTGCACTTTGCTTTTTTTTTTTTTTAGCAAAATTGAACGTTTTTTACATCTTTAATTCAAAATTTGAACCCGGCCACACCCTACAAACAAAATAAAATTTATGTAATTAAAAAGAGGAGATAAAAATCAATACATGGGGCATATTTTTATTTTGTTTGACGGGTTGGGCCACATCGAAAACTTAACTTTTCCTTCCACGCAAAACAGCTGAAAACCGATCACTAATGTAGATTTTCGGGAATATCTCATTTTAATATCAAAAATGATGATTTATTTTGCTTTTTATTAGAAAAAGGTATCAAAATACAATTATCTGATTTATAATATTTGATTTTGTGTTATAACGAAGAAAGAATATAGAAAACGAAAACCATGGAAGATAACTCGTGAAACCCATAAATCGAAAGCCTACACATGTCCGACGTGTCAATCGAAATTAAATCAGTTAAGATAATCAGTACCGTACCAATAGCGTACTAAAATTAATCACTATCTGCACCTTGAAACGAATGATTTTGATATCTAGTAAACATGTAATATATTTTTTTTATTATTTAGATCTTAGACTTAAGGAACATATTACGCATGACAATAGGAACAGTGGGTGGGGTGGGGGTAATATGGCGATGTATAGTATACTACAGAAAACATGCTTTTACAATTAACTCGTGTCCCCTAAATAAAAACACTGATATATATATATATATATATATATATATATATATATATATATATATATATATATATTTGTGCAAATGCACCGACTTTAACAAAGCATACAGTCCCAACACTGTCAACAATGCAAAGTTCACAAGTCTTTTTATTTTGGCGTGAACGCAAAAATGAGAAAATAAGTTTTGATAATTTTTAGGATGGTATCAACATGATAGAAAAATCCATGAGAATCATCATGTTGGAAAATCTGTACAAAGGAAAGAAGGTAATGCTCACTTTTTCTAATAACAGAAATTTTTTGTTCCATGAAAAAGACAAAATCAAATTTTGATATGAGAAAAGTGAATATCACATTTCCACTATGGAATTATTATTGAATTAAAATAATTTTTAGTAACATATTTATTTACAAAAATACTTAAAGGCACAGAGATGGGTAGTAGTTCTTCTAGTATTCATCTGGGCATTGTTTATTTGTACCACAAACACAATCACATCAATTTGTTTTTTGAACAACTTAAAGGATACTTGAATAAATATCAATTGTTTGAATCCAATGTCCTCTGAACATGTTAATCGGTTAAATTGTTTAAATAAAGAAAAGAGCACTAATAAATATATAGGATACATTTATTCAATTTATTGTTAAGTGAGTTTTTTGAAAACATTGTCGAATCAGTCGAATCAGTTTTCTCGAATACTACATATCTGTGTGAAGGTTCAAAATTCAGATCAAATTTTAAATGCAATTTCCTAATATTTCTTTTTGTTGTAATCTACTAATTTTAAGTAATCTGACGACTCTCTGTTTAAATATCTGTTTAGTATCTCAACAAAGTATATATGACAAATTATCATTATTTTCTGTTTTTAAGCTGTTCATAATTCATAAAGCCACCAGTTTTGGATATAAATCCTTTTACATGTACTTATTTACAATTGGATAATATAGTAAATTGCGTCCTCTGGTATCTTGCACAAATATCCATATTAATTGCTTTAATTTTTTATGAGAAAACTTGTTAGAGTATCAATTATTCAGTGACAAATTCTTGGAAAAATTAAATATCAACTATAGTGATGTGGTGTCTGACCTTATTTTACAATGATCATTAACACTGGTTCTTTTACATGTATCATTTTGTCTTTCTTTTCTTTATAACTTTCTTGAAATAATGTAGGACACATGAAGAAATGGTGTAGTATATCATGTATATATGCAGGTGTATTAAAACAGGAATTGTGTGCTTAAAAATATGCATGAAAATTAGCTGAACTGATTCAAATCATAATCTTCCGTGTTAATTAATTATTCGGACATGGATGAAGCAGTTTCTGTGTAGATGTCGATATGAAAACATATCCACATAAGGAAACACTGAAAGTTAATAAATATACGTTGAACTGCTGGATTGTTTGATGTTGATCCTAGTGTGGAGAAATATTCACATGATGCCATCAGTATTAAACGTCTACAACCCTTGGGCGTACTTCTGTGCGTCTTTAATTATATTTGAAAGTTTTACGAAAGGTACGTTTGAACTCTTTATGTTTTTCGTTATTATAAAAATAAATGTCAAAAACAAATATCTAAAAAACTGAATAGGTTTGTAACGCAATTGAATCATGAATTAACTTTCATTCTATTTAAGTTTATAAAATTTAGCATATAAATGGTAATTCTCATGTAAAGTTATGGGATTGTTTGAAAGGTATAACACAGGATATAAGATGTGAGGCACAACAGTCCTCTACAAAAGGATCCTACCCTGCACATTACGCTTGTGATGACGACATGGACACATTTTCTCTAACCAGAGATGACGTAAGCCAGAGCTGGTCAATGAATCTTGGTAGAAAATATCCAATATTCTGGATTTTCCTAAGCATTAGTTGTGGTATGCTAAAATGATCTGTCATAAACGTTTTCTGTACTCACAATAAAAGTTTTCATATCATAATAAATAATAATTATATGTAACTTCTTCTCTTTAGATAAGATTTATATATGTTTGATATATGAGGGATTGGGCCGGCATAATTATAATGTTTAGATTAGTATTTTTTGTTGTTTTTTTTTTATAGGAAAATATGATATCAAAATTCAGGACGACACCCACAAAACCAAAAATTGTTCAATGATTTTGAAAACGTACGAAACTACTACCAAAAGTGAGATAGTCACTTGCAAACTCGATACTTATGGACGGTCCAGGCGCGTAGCATCGTTTTTGGAAGTGGGGGGGCCAACCTGAGAAAATTTTTTTCTACTTACCTGAAAAAGTTGACAAGCAAAAAAAAAAAAAAAAAAAAAAAAAACCTAAAATTAAAAGTTGCCCGAAGTCGAAAATCCTATTTCGTGGGGGGGGGGGGGGGGGGGGGGGGGGGGGGTTATGGCTAACTTTTTTTCAAACTTTTTGGGGTAAATTTTCTTTATAACACTACCCTTTGCTGAAATGTGGGGGGCCAACCTTCCTTTCAGTAAACATTTTCCATAGTAAAGGTAATGTCGGGAGAAAAAGTGGGGGGGCCTGGCCCCCCCTGGCCCCCCCTGATACTACGCCCCTGGGACCTGTTGTAGGAAACAAAATTATAATCACAAGACTGGACGATGGCGCAATACAAATTGATGAAATAAAACCAATAAGTATGGATTATTGAGCGATTTTTTTATAACAGTTTTATAAATAATTATCTAACATTGGAAGTGAAACATTCTCTCTCTTTTCTTCCCTTAACAATTAGAATTTGAACCTTGGAACATCCCAGTAAAGAATTATTCTGGTGGCATTGAAGGCACAAAGGCTTTTGATGGCGATCTAAACACCTACTTTTTAACTGAAGTAAACATCAATGCAACGTGGTATATGATGCTGAACACTAGTTACGAAATCAAATGGATACTTCTTCTTATCAGAGGAGGTAAGTCATTTTGGCTAAAATCTATCCAGTTTGTAAAAATAATATAATATTAAAAGATACTTTCGCAAGACTTCATTGCCATTTTTTTTGTCTTAACTCAATATAGGAGAATATGAAGTGCACATATCTAAAACTCTATGTCATCTAAATACGACGACCCTGTGCAAAATACTGAAGCTTAGTAATCCAGCAACAAAATACCACGTTATAGTAGAGTGTGATAAAGAAGTGAAAGGGAACTATATTGTAATTAGAAGAATCGACGAAGGACCTTTGAGGCTGTTTGAAGTACATCCTATAAGTAATTATTTGCATATTTTACAATAATTACAGCAAAACTCGGTTATAACGAAGTTGCTGGGACCTGTAAAATTACTTCGTTTTATCCGTATTTTTTTATAATCGTAAAAGAAATAGAATGTGACTGTTTCATCAAGCGACTAAATTTTCTCCATTGTTGAAAATGTGTGATAATGCCTTTTTGAAAATTGATGAATGCCAGTTTGAATTCTTAACACATATTTTGACCAAATTCATTTTTTTTTGTGATACAAAACTACATTCATTCATTTCCTCTATTTGAAATGATGTATGTAATAATTTTGAAATTTTATTCATAGTTTGTCCTGCAAATCACTATGGAATAAACTGTGCTAAATGTAGGGAGGCATGTGTTTCCTACGAACCTATATCTGGGGTATGTAATCAATGCAGAGGATCTTTGTATGGTGATTATTGTCAACATCGATGTCCATCAACATGCACAACGATGAAATGTGACCAACAAACCGGACGTTGTCATAGTTGTAGAGAAGGCTACAATGGAAATTACTGTGAATTCCAAAACTCGACCACCTGTAACTATTTTTTATTAACTAAAACTTTTATCATTAAAGATCTTTCAGTGATTTCTTGTGGTATATTTTTTGTTGACGACTGTGTATTGTTTCTGATATATGATGTGTTATAGACACAATTATTTTTCAAAGTAATGTGTGGCTGTTTACTAATGCCAAGAATTTAAACTTTATGTGTTTCTTAGCTTGTATTCAGTTGCCACTAATATGTGCGTTTTATTATGTTTTTGTTCTCGTTTTTTGTTTTGTTTGCCTAATGATGATTTGTTCAATCATAAACACTGTTTCTTGTAGATAACAAAACTGAAGTGGTTACCACCAGTACAAATTCTGAGCGAAACAAACCTAGTACTGCTGTGATGGATGTTTACATAAGTACACGCATTCTATATTTTTATCTTAATACGAATAAAACAAAATGGAGATGCCTCGGTTTTGAACATATTGAAATTATTTTTTTTTCTCTGTAATATGTGATATGGTTATCGATAAAATATTTAGATAAAATACTCCGGACCCTCATTAGAATGAATACACTAACCCTTAACTTTCGAAAAGTTGGAAAGATATTTTTTGATATTTTGTAGAGTGTATGAATAGCCTTTAAATCCCGAATTATAGTGTACTTGAAAAAGTTTGCAAGAACTACCGTATAAGTGAAAAATTTAGCGAGACTCAAATTTAGCGATTTCTACCTAAGAACTGGTTTTTTTTAGCGAGAAGTAATTTTAGCGATTTTAAAATGCTAACAAAAGAAGCTATAACAAATAATATGCAATTAATTTTTAGCGATATTCAATTCTAGCGATGTCAGCACCCTCGCTAATAATGCCAAAATTAAATCCTCGCTAAAATTCTACTTATACGGTATACGTTATTTAAATGGGTGCGTCACTTGCCCTTATTTTGTACTGAATAAACGTGTAGCACTTAATATAATCATCAAATAATGTAAGTGAGACTACCAAATAATTTGCAAAAACTATATGTAAACCTATATTTCAATGATGTATTACACCATTGCAAATTCATCATTGTAAGAGGATTGAAATCCATAAAACAATGTAAACATTGAGAGTTACCGTAAAACGTGTCATACAATCAGTGTAAGAATTCTTACATATTAAATAAAACAGATGCTTTTTCTCAGAAGAAAATGAATTTACAGAAGATAGAAATAATGAAGGAGACCGAATTCAATTCCCAATCCTGTTGGTGACTCTGAGTGCAATGGTTGTTCTATTACTAGTGGTTGTCGTGATTCTCTTCGTTTCAAGGTAAAGTTCGTAGTTTGATATATGTTAGTATTATTTTTCTCAGATAATCCTAGCTCCCTGATTGGCTCAAACTTGATCATATGATCAAAGTATATAACAGCAACGTATATATACTTGAGTTAACATTTATAGATTCTAAAATGCATTTCGACTTAATGCTCCTAAATATGGTAATAAATTTATTCTCTAAAACAACAATAGTGCGGAAATCAAAACAGCTAATACAGTGTATGACTTGAAATTGATAAAAAAAAAAATTCGTACTTCAACTCTTGTTTATAATTTTGTTCTGCAATAATTAGTAAGACATAACGGTGCCTTTCATAAGGCTCTACCTTATAATGAAACATATACTGTATGTTTTTTTTTATCGATATAAAACATAACTTTGAAATATGAACCCTTTGAAATCTATACAGTAAATTTCCCAAATTACTTTATTGGTACAAAGCTTAAGAAACACAAATAGATTAAACGACAAATTTTCTTTGATCTCTGTCTCCAATTGTTAAAAATGTCAGCAGAGAAACCGTATGGCTTGTTCGTCATTACTTTCAACTTTTCTGTCAGTCAATCTCTGTAAAAATTATATAACAAATGCAGTCCTTCTGTTTGGTCAATCCAGAGATATATCGACTTCAAAGAAAAAGCATATTCGTGCGAGGTTGATATGCATTTCTGCCAACTCGAATTAACTATGGATTTACCTCATCAAAAGGCTAAATTAATATATTTGACAATAAAGTAAATAAAATAGAATTTAAGGCTTAAAATTGTTTTCATGTAAAAGGTGGAATAATTTAATATCAAAGAACGAAAAGAAAAGTCACACTCCAAAGAATCTTCTGAGATCAGAGTCGAGAAATGAGTCCGAGTTAGAAGAGATTCCTCAAAACGAGGCAGGATATGTCGAAGAGGAAGTTATTGTTGTAGAGTACGGTAATCTGACGTCAGAAAGGGTCTCAATAGAGCAGTTTATCAAGGAGGTGCCAGAAAGAAAATGCAATGGTACACTAGAAAAAGAGTTCAATGTATGTGGCACTTTTCACTTTATATTTCCTTTAAGTTTGTAATTTATGAATTTTATCAAATAGAATCTAAGAAGGGCAATATGAAATTTCATTGCGTAAAAAAATGCACTAGCAAGACCACTCCCTCATGCAGTGTGTTGCCTACATCAATCTCAATATAGTTGCAGGAAAATCTATTTTTTATGTGTTTAGAGACTTTTTCAAATTACTGTTACATTTACTGAGGGATTCTATGGGCAAAGGCTTTTTTGGTAATTTAACAAATAGAAAATATTTACCTTACCTGTTCTTAACATGTGTATATTTTATAAACTATACTTGTATATATGTATTAAAAAATTCAACATTTGCGTTAATACTCAAAGTGCAACATGTATATGTCTTTATCTGATACTATACTAAAAATTGATTGAAAGAAATATAAATATCTAAAGTCTAATTTTTAGGCAGTGTACAGGGTAAGAAAAATCTAGTTTTGTTACAATGTGTGATTGACAATTACATGTATTACGGAAGAACGTATTAAAACATTGAATCAATATTAAGTTTAACCATGAAATTAGTTCATATCTTTTTAATCATAGGACCTTCCATGTGGATTGCTAGAATCCTACTCAAATGCACTTAAGATTTCAAACAGGAGAGGTAACAGATACAAAGGCATTTATCCCTGTAAGTGAAAGTCTTCGCATTTTACATCAGATTTAATAAGATTTCTTTACGCGAAAAGAAAATGTGATTTTATTAATACATTTCCGGAAAATAAATTGTCTGCGTGGACCATTACTGAATCAATCTTTAAAACATGTTAAATCTTATTTCATTTTTTTTCAGATGACTATAATCGCGTGAAGTTAATAAGAACAGAAGATAATGCGAACGATGATTTTGTTAATGCTTCATACATTCATGTCAGTATAAAATGAATTATTCTGATATATTTCCGAGTCACATTTCTGTCTTGTAATTTTCCCACGGAAGTGTATATTTCGATTCTTGCTGTTATATATAGCAAATTTACTTGTTTTAGGGTTTCGCCAAAGAACGTGCTTACATAGCCTAACAAGGTCCACACTTTCATTTTTGAAAACGAAGTTTAATTTCCTCAAAGTTTTTATATTGCTAAAGATACAGAAAAATTTAAGTAGTTTTTGGAAATTTATCTATTTTGAGAAATGAATTTTAATAGCATCCTGTCTAACAGACACTTTTTCTGAAGTATTGCCAACTGATAATTAGTTTAATTAAGAGCATATGTTAATTTTTCAATACGAATAATTTATTATTTTTTAATGCATCAGGTCCTTTCAATCCTAAAACATTAGAAGATTTCTGGACGGTAATTTGGCAGAATGACTCTACAAGAATCGTTATGCTGACAAATCTGTACGAAGGAGAAAAGGTTCTTGATAATTACCTAACAAAACTGATACATAGAATACCACAACCCTCTCTTTAGCTTAAGATTCTAAGAAAAAAGGTTAAATTTGCATATAAAGAGAGTTTTTGATACCTGTATGTATCTGTATGTTCTTTCTTATTAGTCAGAGGACATGAAATGTATGATCCTAATTTAAATATGTATGATTTCCTTGATATTAAAATTGTATTTAACATTTAAACTTTTAGGATTGATTATTATGCGGTTTGCATCCTACTCCCTCTTTTTAGATGAAGTGTCTCAAGTACTGGCCTGACACAGAGCTGGACATTGGTCCATACACCATTCGACTGGACACAGTGGATGTGTATGACAACTACATATTGCGCTATTTGATTGTACATTATCAGGTTAACTGCATCTTAAAAATATTGCCTTGTTCTATTCAAAAGCCTAAGAAAATTGAGTTATATGTATTGTCCATAGCTAGACATTAATGGCTTATCATTTTAAGAATATATTTTTGAGGGGGTTTATGTCCGCATTAACTTTTGCAATGTCCAAAATGGTACTTTTTTAAAGAAAGGACATGGTTTGAATTTATATTTTAAAAAAATAAAATTGAGTTTTTTTAAATATATATTCGTATAATGGATATATCATAATGTATATCACCAAAGTCTTTGTTATAAACTTGAAATTTTGAAGTTTGAGTTCATCTGTTTCTTTGGAGTGACTCCAGTACATACATGTAATAGAATCAAAACATCTACTTCCGACTGGAATATAATTTGAAGTATACAAAGTCTAAAAATGAATTGTATAATAATTTGAAATTTGTATTTTACCCCCATGTTCCTCTCTAATTGGTCAGGAAGAACAAAAAAGAGTGACACAGTTTCATTTCACCACGTGGCCTGACAACTCTGTTCCAGAGGAGTTGACGTCACTCATCTGCTTCCGGAATTTAGTTAAGAATGGTATGACGTCATCAGACGGACCAATTGTTGTTCACTGCAGGTAAATACATAGAAGTGTATGAAACGTAAAAGGTGGATATATAACGATGCTGAATATTAGGTATCCAGTGAAGATCGAATACAGATCACGATTAGAGGAAAACTTGTATTGGAAAATTTGTAAACAGCGGAAGTGGAGCAATTAAAGACCTCTTATTGATCAGACCAAACTTCACAAGCCCTCTGTTATGATAACATTTATATGTTCTCAATTAGTATAATATAAGATCTATAACATATTGATTGGTATGAAATATGCCAATAAAAACTTGATATAATGTTATTGTAAAGGAAATCACTACAGCTTATTTTTTGGAAATCATAGTTTTTATAATTCAACAGAGATTGTAACATCATATTTTTTTAATTTTATTGTTTCGATTTTGAAGCAGTTTAAAGATATTTTCACCTTGTGCGAATGATTATGGAATGTTTTTATAAACACTGTTTAGTTTTCTTTCTATATTTGGTCATTAATGATGGTTCGAAATTAGTTATAATTTGTATAATGATCGAAACCGTTAAGGAATTATCCCACTTTCAGCTGTCATTAATGACCGAGTCATACCAGACAAACTAGAATATGATTCTCATATACACGATCTGTAAAAAAGTAACCAAAAACCAAACTCCCTGCCAAATATAGAATTGAAATACCTGATGTATGCTGCGTAGTTTTCATTTGATTCCACAACCAATAAGTCATGGTCTAAATAATGCAAAGGAACAACGTAAAAGCTATATTTTTCACACATAAAAACATTATTTATAATTGATACCGGTAGTTTCCGGACGCATAATAAGTGTCTATTATTCAGTATTAGATTATTCAAAATATCGAATAGGAGCTAGAATTTGTGAGAAAAATGTTTGTATCTTGGAAGTTTTTAGTAGGAAGTTTTTTTCATTCATTTTTTGTTTTTTTGCATTTTATTAAGTTTGGTGTATTTGGTTACATTGTATCAAAGTCTGGATTCACTGCTTGACATTCATACACTGCACTTGACATATCTAGTAGCGAGCTGCGATCGATATTGAAATTTTCACACAGTATTAGGAAATAAACAGATTTGCATATTTCTTTCAAATAATTGAAAAGTTTGAAATGCAAATATTTTTAATAGAAGTTTAAAATATACAAATTTCTAAATATCGTATTAATTATTTTGCTCCCAAATATTAAACTTTTCATTAAATCATGAATTTTATTAAAGTAACATATGCAATACTTTACTTCTGTAAGTATGTTGTCATATGAAATCTGTTAATAAATCAAAAGTCTTACAGAAAATGACATGCCCTTCTTATTACAGCGCAGGGATTGGTAGAACAGGGACACTTATCGCCCTTGATTATCTCCTGGAAGAGGGCACTGCTGAGCAGACGATTGACGTCAAAGGATACGTAGCTTCTCTTCGACATCAACGCGGGAAATCTATACAGACATGCGTAAGATCTATTTATTTTCAAATTTGATGAAATACGTAATTTACCCGACAATAATGACCATCTTGACTACTACCAGGTTTTAATTTTTAAGCGTTTTCATTTCCTCTCTAGTTAAAAAAAATTTATTGTAAATTACCGGTAAGCCCACCCCCTCTGATCACCTTGTCACCAAAGATTTATAATGAAAATAGGTTTTGGATCTATTTGAACTGTGATATAATAATGATTGAAGATATTTTATTAAATTTTCATTTTACACTGGCTTTTTTACAATACTTTTAGGAGCAGTATATCTTCCTACATGACTCACTGATAGAAGGATTCACAAATAACAATGCTCGCAGGAGCGTGTTGTCGGTACTTTAAAACCATATTGGAGTACAGTGTGAATTGTCCATTGTTATTTGTTTTTTTTTTTTTTTTTTTTGGGGGGGGGGGGTGTTTGTTGGTTTACGTTGTTCTATAGAATTTTTCACGTATATGGAGATGCCATTTCTTTTTATGGAAGGCTGCACATTTATTCTTGTAATCGGCAGTCAGGACTGTTACATTGTGATGGATAAAAAAGACTATTAGGTCGTTAGGGAATTTTTTCGTACCAACACGTACTGCAACAAGGGACCTCAATTTACACGGCCTCATCCGAAAAGCCGGTCTCCACGTTCCGAAGTTGATTTGAACCTGTGATTTTAGGATCAGCCCCTTATTTTGCGACACAAGAGCAAACGATGATCCATTAGCCAAAGAACACAAGTTTGAATAGTTTATTTATTGTTCTTTAAGCGATCACTATTATAAAAAGGAAAGGGTGTGTTCGTGAATATTATCAAATATAGTATTGTAGAATTTATCATTAATTTGTATTTGTATCAATAAAAAGTGAGTACATAAGATAATCACATATTTTGCATTATATTTACCCATAGAAATTGACATTTAGGCCTTGTTTAGAAGATAAAAACAATTTGATATTTTCAAATGTTTTTCTAGTTTAAAATGAGACAATTTACTTGAAGATGGGCCTGAAAGACTCCTTTCTCGTGATCAATTAAAAGGGGATGCTTACTTCTCATGGGCATCAGAGATAAGTTACATTTAACATAGTCCGATGTTCAACAAGCAGTGAGCCACAGGAAAATAGATTGAAGTATAAAGCGCTGCTTATTTTTTTCAGAAATGATTTTTATGTCAGATCATGATATGAAGAAATTTCAACACAGAAAATAGAAGGAGAAACTATTTATTATCAAAACATTAAATTTAGAATATGAGGTGTATATGAAAATAATACTTAGTATCATACCTATAATGTCAGAAAACATCATCAAGCGATGCTTTCTTAGTCAGAAAATCACAATGTTATATGTGGTTGTAAGAAAAAGAATACATCTGTGAGGAGGAGTTATCTTTTCGTTATCTTTCCTCTAAATATTTCTTCATGCGAAAAAATGTCATAATAACAAAAATTCTGTATTAAGTACTTTAAACAAACCATTTTTAAAATGGTCCTTAAAAAGATACAAATTATTCAATTTATAAGGCTTTCGAGGTTGGATTTACAGTGGACCTTCAGAAATCCGAACCCCAGATATCCGGATGCTTCACTATCCGGACAATTTTTCTTCAGGACAGAATTTTTATATGTTATTGTTTTCTGTTTAACTGGTGATCCAGGTATCCGGACGCTTCAAATATCCGTACAAATTGACTAGGAACCAAAGCGTCCGGATAAATGAGGCTCCACTGTAAATGTTTTATTGTTAAATATAATAAAACAATTAGGAAGAAATTGACTGAAGAAATAGAAAGGTATAGTATGTTTCCATCATATGTTAGATTTCATCGAACTGACCATTCAGAAGTCTCAATTAGGACTCTCTGAAAATAAAAACTATGAGTAGTATTCATATTTTGTACTTTGAAAATTATCTGTCTTATCAGAGGGTCGACACCCCTTAAATTCATGTCAAACATGCAGATTCCCCCTGATCATGCAACTTTCTATCCTAATTTAATTGGCTGGACAGTACAAAAGTGGCAGAGTTGTGAAAGATCAGATGTGAGTAAGTTTGTATGTGAGTCAATCTAAGAAGATTCTTTGTAAATTCAGTACGTTCCATCTACGACATTTATTTATACAGGGAAGTGACAACAATATGATTGTTTTAACCTTTATTTTGGCGAACATTGGCCGTGGCATAGTATTTTGTGGGATGCCAATTAATACACACAACTTTTGGGCAAACCCACACAAATTCAACAAAATTCATCAACACAAACAAGTCATATGTTCAAAAATGACCACCCCGGGTAAACCGCGGGTGGTTACTTATTTAAGGTTACTTATTTAAGTGAAATTAGTTATATGCACAATTCAAGCACAAAACAAATCATATCAACATATCAGCAAATATTTTGCACATAAAATGGTTCAACACTTCAACCCCCTTCACGGTTCAATGGTGAAAACTTCACAACAATACAAAGTTTATGTAGGCCTCAGTTGCTTTGGTGTGCGCAAACGCCACTCCTGTACCGGTTATGCCACGACATTTCTTGAAGACGACATCCAGTGCAACGGATTCTGCAAAATACAAAGGAAAAGCCAGCACCAAGAACCAAATATGCAATCATTTAAACTCGAAATTATGGGTATGGGTGGGTGGGATATTTAAGACCGATGCAAAAAATTTCTTACAAATATTATGAAAAAATTGACAAAGAAATATTCAACCTACTCTGTATCCAGCAAGTTGATGAAGAGAATGTTGATCCCGAGCTTTCCGACTTATATAATACCCAAGGCCGCAGGCCGATCCCGACCAAAAATTAATGCCTTTTCCCGTAAAATAAAGTTATCTGATTTTATATGCATAAAATAGATGATATTATTTATACAGGGAAGTGACAACAATATGATTGTTTTAACCTTTATTTTGGCGAACATTGGCCGTGGCATAGTATTTTGTGGGATGCCAATTAATACACACAACTTTTGGGCAAACCCACACAAATTCAACAAAATTCATCAACACAAACAAGTCATATGTTCAAAAATGACCACCCCGGGTAAACCGCGGGTGGTTACTTATTTAAGGTTACTTATTTAAGTGAAATTAGTTATATGCACAATTCAAGCACAAAACAAATCATATCAACATATCAGCAAATATTTTGCACATAAAATGGTTCAACACTTCAACCCCCTTCACAGTTCAATGGTGAAAACTTCACAACAATACAAGGTTTATGTAGGCCTCAGTTGCTTTGGTGTGCGCAAACGCCACATGACAGCGAACAACCGAAGGAGAGTTCGCAGTCATCCCACACATGGGGGAGCACCCAAGCAACTGACAAAAGAGTCCCCACGGACCAATGTTCTTTATGTTTTGTTCAAGAATACACATTGCCTTGTTTTAAATTCTAGACCCCCCCCCACCCTTGGATATTTTTAAGAAAGAGTTTATTTCCCAGGTCATTGAGCTGTACTCTATCTGGCAACAGATTTCGTGACAAGTTTTTCAATAAATCAGGATACTTTATGTAACAACCCCCCAACTCTAAAACTAATGAAGCAGCTACCCTACTGGCCTTAAGACAGGATCACTCTATTGCTTTATTGTTCCCCAAGTACCTCCTTTTATTTCGTTGCAGCATCTTTGACCAAACAAGTGTAGAATGTGGAAAGCGAGTCTTAATAATCTTTAGATGGGATTTAATTTTCTCAATGAGAGTATACAAATCAAGTGACCTAATATTGTTTGCGCCACAAACCAAAAAATCAGGAGATTCCTCGTATTCTGTCAGAAAAAAAATAAAAGCTTTCTTTTAAGTCCCAAAAAAATTCAAATCTGAATATCCCTGCCACCAGATATTTATTTTCAATCTATCCAATACAAGATTTGTCTCTCCTACCCCCCCCCCCCCCCAGTCTGCATACTGATGCCATCATTGCATTCTTAATAGAGGAGCACATACACCAGACTCTACCCTGCAGGGACCTAATACTATGCAATAATTTGAATAAATCTTATATTAACAAAATTACTGTACAACTTATTTGCCCCCAACATCTGCCCAAAAGGACATCTTATGTATGATTTGTATTCCCTAGACTTCCAATGCCCTGCTTCCATTATGACATCTTGTGAGCAACCTGATTCAAATGTTGCAGTGGGAGCCCTGATACGAAATGAATGGGCCCTATAATGTGCCTGAACCCCCAAAACCTGAAGTGATTTTTCCAAAACTAAAGAGAAATGATACCTGGTAAGGGGATTTTTTTCCATAGTGGATAAATACTGGCCCTTTAATTTCTGGTCTTACTGCAAGATAATCTATCAAACTTGCTATTGGACACAGGATTTTCTTACTTTTATCAATGGCTAAAGAAACCCCCTTTCTATCCTGCTCACATTTTGACATTCTTACGTGTACAAAAACCTTGGAGTAATTAGCTTGAAATTGAACATCAGTCACTTGTAAAATTGTATGAACACTATTACCAGTAGACAATGTGAATTCCCCTTTTCTGAGAAAACCAAAGAAGGCTAATATATAAACAGCTCTGAACAATTTTGTTTCATATCTATCACTACAAATGCTCGGTAAAACCCTAACAACTTTTGTGAGCAACTTCAAGGTTATAGGTAGCCTTGCATCTGCAGACCTACCAGTTCTTCTCATACCCTCAAGAACCTTTACAACCAGAAAGTTCTTTGTTTCATCAACCCTATTATGGATTTTGCATTGAAAACTAATAGAAGATAGATAAAATTTAGACGTAGCATAGGAACACTTCTCAGGTGACAAATAAGCAACAAATTGAACAACATTCCTAAGAGGTGGGGGTCATGAAATTTTGTACCCAAATTCTTTCCGGAAATTATAAAACGAATTTTGCCCTGTTTCCTATGCTGTCTTAGTGTTGTAAGAGATTGAAGCATCTACCCTTCTATTCATTTGAATCTGTAAATCATGTTGACTAATTCTACTGGAAGAGGGTCTGGTCTTATGCTTACCTCTGGTGCCAATGTCTTGAAACGGAACCACTGTTTGCGAGAAATAGAATCTGCAATTTTGTTATCCAAGCTACCAATGTGATTTGCCCTAAATATATCATTGTTGATCATCAGTCTGAGAACCAAATGTCTTACCAATTTATAACTCTTTTGGACTTGGAAGATTGGGTATTGATGACACTAACTAGTGAAAGGTTGTCAACATGAAATTGGACTTTTTATGTAGCAACCTAGGTCCCCATATCTCTATTGCTAAAACTACTGGTATGAGCTCAAGAAAATTCATGTCTCTCAAAATATCTTGGTTGTTCCAGTGTTTTGTCCATTGGAGAAAAATCCGACTTCCACTTAAGTAACCCCCACAACCTAAATGACCTGAACCTGCAGTATCTGTAAAT